GAACAATGCAAATGCAAAGCGTTAAACCAGTGTTATCTGCCTGTATGGAGGACAGCCAAACAGCTGCTTTACATTTTGATCTCAGTAAACAGTTTCCTGATGAGTTTATAATCTCAGTCACTAATTTCAAGTGTTACAACATGATGCTTGTTCAGAAACTAGGGTATGCTTTAGGATGGGCCTAAATTGTGTAGTTAGCATAAAGTGACTCATTTCTCTGTCCACTCCTCAATCAGCAATGGCCAAAATGCTACATTTGAAGCTGCAAGGATGTGACTTCACTAACATCTGGGTGATGATATTGATAATGATATTTTTTTTTTAATTATTTAATAAGCGTATTAAGTGTGTGAGAAGAGTTAAAATCCATTTTTGTTCTCTGTGTTTTTTGGTACATGTTCAGAGTTTTTACAAGGTCTGTTTCCTTCTAACCAGCTATTTATTCAATATGATGTAAACATATATGGTACTGTGCCCTGCATAGAGAGTTGCACATGATTGTTTAAATATTTTTGAACCTTTATTTTGATAAGAACTTAATTATTATACACAGAGATAACATGCACAACGAAATAAAAGAAGCAGACTTTTATCCTTTGCTCTGTTGCTGACTGTGTTTGTCTCTGTTCTAAACCTCTGTTGTGTGAGTTTAGGCTCATTTGAAAACAACACACATCAATCCTGAAAATAAGTTCTGTCTAAATTGAGGGTAATGCAAGACATTAAATACAAAAATTGAATTATAAAACAAAAATTAAATTATGTGGATGCATAAATATCTGATTAAATCTTCATAATTGCTCTGTCTCGCCAATACACCGTGTATCAGAAAGTATACCTTATACGTATATACACTACAATTCTGATAGCTGAAACGGTTTTGACTGAATAGTCTTTTGTTTCAACAGTTTGTGATTAGATATTTCTATTTAAATGCGTGGGAACTTTGGTTGTGATAGTTGATGTAGTGGTAGCTTCCTCATGAGGACAGTGAGACTTCAGTCTGACACGCCCACATTCCACAGGTTGAGGACGAAGCATGTTTCAAATCTGCTGACAAAGGTTTGAGCTCCAGGATTTCCAGAACAAAATGAAGTTGCTTGCACTGCTCCTCTTCTGTAACACTGCGTCTTCAGGCAAGATCACATCGTAACTCTTACTGTTACTTTCTGCAGGGATTGTTGGAAGGATTGTTTGATTTGATTACATTGTCTGTATTTGGTTACTATCCTGTGTGTAGCAACAAGCTGTGGAAGTTTTACTTTCACTTTTAAAGCGAGTGTTTTAAAGTTACTTTGCTTTCAAAATGTTGCGTTTGTCTTAGAGGCAAATCAGATTAATTAAATCAAATTTAAATAAAAAATCTTTCCCCCCTTTTGCAGAATTATCATCTGAATGCACTGTTGTGCCAAACATAGCTCTATAGACTTCTCTTGTTTGTGTGTGTTCATTTGTTTATTTATTTCTATTATTTATTTATTTATAAAATACTATTTTTATATTTATATCTATTACCTATTATTTTCAATGTACACGTGAAATACGGCAATGACAGAGCTGAAATTTGAAATAAATCTAATAAAACAGAAATTATACAAGATTAACCAAATTACAAGACAATATTATCAATAAATCAATAAACCACTCACTCCTTGTTGTTCCCATGTTGAGACTGAAACGCCAGGGGGACCGAGCTTTTGCTGTTGTAGCTTGCAAATGATGGAATAAGTTGCGCCTCCATATTAGGGTGGACCCAACACTTGCAATTTTTAAATCACTTTTAAAAACAAACTCTTTTGCCAAGGCGTTCTAGGAGTAGTACCAGAGTTTGAAGTCTTAGTCAGTTTTTGGTTACTTTTAATCTTCTTTACTTTGTTAATTTTATTTATTTCATATTTTA